TGCAAGGGTGTTAAAGGAATGTAAAGAGGAACTTAGCATACCTTTGGCTAATCTTTTTAGCATATCACTACAAACTGGCATAGTGCCTGATAAGTGGAAAATGGCAAATGTAATACCTATTTACAAGGCAGGTGACAGGTCCTTGGCTTCGAACTGTAGACCAATAAGCCTTACCTCCATAGTGGGAAAATTTATGGAATCAATAATTGCTGAAGCAATTCGTAGCCATCTTGACAGGCACAGATTGATTAATGAATCTCAACACGGTTTTACAAAGGGGCGTTCCTGTCTTACGAATTTACTAACTTTTTTCACTAAGGTGTTTGAGGAGGTAGATCATGGTAATGAATATGATATTGTGTATATGGACTTCAGTAAGGCTTTTGATAGAGTTCCACACCAGAGACTATTGAGGAAACTTAAGGCACACGGAATAGGAGGAGAAATTTTTTACTGGGTAGAGGCATGGCTGACAAATAGACAGCAGAGAGTTTGCATAAATGGGGAGAAATCAGAATGGGGGCAGGTCACAAGCGGTGTTCCTCAGGGGTCAGTGTTGGGCCCTTGTTGTTCACAATTTACATAAACGACATAGATGAGGGAATTAATAGCGACATAAGCAAATTTGCTGATGACTCCAAAATAGGCCGTCCAGTTCATTCTAATGAGGACACTAGAGCACTCCAGGATGATTTGAATAGACTGATGCAATGGTCGGAGAAGTGGCAGATGCAGTTTAATATTGACAAATGCAAAGTTCTAAATGTTGGACAGGTAAATAACCATGCCACATATAAACTAAATAATGTAGATCTTAATACTACTGATTGCAAAAAGGATTTAGGGGTTCTGGTTAGCAGTAATCTAAAACCAAGACAACAGTGCATTAGTGTTTGCAATAAAGCTAACAGAATTCTTGGCTTCATATCTAGAAGTATAAATTTATTTATTTATTTATTTATTTCCAATTTGTGCACACATACAGAGGTTGTTCTTCAACTCTATATATCCTTGGTTAGGCCTCATTTAGACTATGCTCCTCAGTTCTGGTCACTGTATTACAGAATGGATATAAATGCTCTGGAAAACGTACAGAGGAGGATGGCAAAGATGATCCCATGTATCAAAAATCTTCCCTATGAGGATAGACTGAGGGCCCTGAATCTGCACTCTCTCGAAAGGCATAGAATTAGGGGGGATATGATTGAGGTGTATAAATGGAAAACAGGAATAAATAAAGGGGATGTAAATAGTGTGCTGAAAATTTCCAGCCAAGATAGGACTCGCAGCAGTGGTTTCAATTTGGAAAAATTCAGATTCAGAAAGGGTATAGGAAGGCACTGGTTTGGTAACAGAGTTGTGGATGAGTGGTACAAACTCCCGAGTACAGTTATTCAGGCTAAAACGTTGTGTAGTTTTAAAAATAAGTTAGACAAATACATGAGTGGGTGTGGGTGGGTGTGAGTTGGACCTGACTAGCTTGTGCTGCTGGGTCTGGTGCAGTGCTCCATCCTTGAGTGGAGATGACCATACTGGGTGGGTCATTGGGCTAATCTGGGGGGGGGGTCATTGGTCTAATCCGGGGGGGGGTCATTGGTCTAATCCGGGGGGGACATGGGCCTGCTCCGCATGGGTCAGTAGGCCTGTTGCAGTGTTCCTTCTTTCTTATGTTCTTTCTTCTTATTCCTGGCACTAAAATAACATTTTCTCTGTTCATTAGTCACATTTGTAGGCCCCTCTTATATTACGCTTGCTTTCTTTTTGAAATTTTATTCACTCAAAACAACAGATTTACTGTTATGTACACTACTGCATTATTGTAATAATTGTATAATTAATGTCAACACATTCGTGTCTGCGTATTAATCCAGCCAGTTGGACACGTTTTGGACGATGACGTCATTTATTTACTCTTGAACATCGGCAAATATCGAATATTTCCACTACTTTGAGCTCGATTTCTGTCATGAAACCAATCAACATCATATCTATTTCTGTAATATATCTTCCATTCTATCAAATGAGACCAAAAATGTGAGAATACAACCATAAAAACCATATGAAAATACACTGCAAAGTTGCTATTTTACACCAAAACCACAGTTACAGTTTTTTCTCATTATGCACATCATGCAGCAGGATTATTTTTATATAGTGCACACTTACCACACAGCCCTATTCTCTCACATGTAGGCCCAAATTTATTGGTCTCGACTTACTTGAGTGAGCTGAACTCATGGCGACCGACAGTGGCTTCAAAGTCACCTTATCTTTTATGGACAATGTACGGTGTATGTGCATTATACAACAAGAAGCATTTCTTTTATTTATTGGAACCATGGCTAGGGCTAAAAGTGAGCAGGTTATAATAATAAATGGAAAAAAAAGAAATTGGAATGACTTATGCAGCAAGTAGTTTACCTGGAGTTTACCTGGAGAGAGTTCCGGGGGTCAATGCCCCCGCAGTAGTACCACCAAACAGTAGCAGCAGGTTGGTGTGGTGACCCCAGAATTTTGAAATTATGCTAGCCAAAATTAGTGCCGGATTACTGATGGAACCGGATTACTGATTGCCAGATTAGTGATGGCCGACTTGTACTGAAACTTATAGAGGGAGATAAGATTTTTTGCAATGATCGTGAATAAAATGGACAGTTCTGTAATCAGCAGACTTTGTCCGTTTTTTCTGAATCAATTAACCTAACGGATTTGTTTGATATTTTCAGAATCCTTGAAATTGAGGTCTGTTATATTGAAGGTTTTCTGAGTCTTATTTTTGTCATTGTGTGAATGAGAATGCGTACAGTTTGGCTGAATAATTAACATGTTGAAAATTCAAACTGCATTTTACATGTCTGAGGACCCCGTTAGGCCATTTTGCATCCTCAAATGAATGTAAATGCCTTGGTAAGTCACGACTAAGAGAGGACATATGATAAACACTTGAATTTTTCGAGGGATACAATAGATAGTGCAATATTTTTCCTGTTTGTGAAAAAGAGAGTAAGAAGCCATAATTTTTATTTACTGTATAAACAAGAGGCACAAAAAAGACAATAAAGAAATAAAGATCTGCACTGTACAGTTATGTATGTTACAGAGCTGTGGATAGTTGGCGTTGGTTCTGAAAACTGACACTGTGCACCACATCTGCTAGAGACTTAAAAAATACTGTATTTATGACAAATTGGTTAAGAGTCAACACAGTGCCATGAACAGAGCTTTATTTGCATATCTACAAATAGCTAATCGTATACTGTATGTGTCCCTGTTTAGCAAATTGATGTCAATATGGTTACATATTTCCCAGTGTATTATTGTGGGTATTGATACTGTTTAGCAATATAAGCCTAATTTTTTTTTTCAATTTAAATACAGTGGACCCTCGACCAGCGATGGCATTGATTAACGATAAATCTGACTAGCGATACATTTTATCGCAAAAATTTTGCCTCGATTAGTGCTAAAAAACTCGACCAACACTATTCGTTCCGTCTGAGACGCGTCTACTTCTGGCCAGTGTTTACAAGCCAGCCAGCCACCGCGGTCGCTTCCAAGCATACAATCGGAACATTTCATATTATCTCAGCCTTTTTAGTGATTGCACCTGCAAAATAAGTCACCATGGGCCCCAAGAAAGCTTCTAGTGCCAACCCTACAGCAAAAAGGGTGAGAATTACTATGGATATGAAGAAAGAGATCATTGCTAAGTATGAAAGTGGAGTGCATGTCTCCGAGCTGGCCAGGCTGTACACAAAACCCCAATCAACCATCGCTACTATTGTGGCCAAGAAAACGGCAATCAAGGAAGCTGTTCTTGCCAAAGGTGCAACTATGCTTTCGAAACTGAGATCGCAAGTGATAGAAGATGTTGAGAGACTGTTATTGGTATGGATAAACGAAAAACAGATAGCAGGAGATAGCATCTCTCAAGCGTTCATATGTGAAAAGGCTAGGAAGTTGCATGACGATTTAATTAGAAAAATGCCAGCAACTAGTGGTGATGTGAGTGAATTTAAGGCCAGCAAAGGTTGGTTTGAGAGATTTAAGAATCGTAGTGGCATACATAGTGTGATAAGGCATGGTGAGGCTGCCAGTTTGGACCAAAAAGCAGCTGAAAAATATGTGCAGGAATTCAAGGAGTACATAGACAGTGAAGGACTGAAACCTGAACAAGTGTTTAATGGTGACACTGACAATGTTGTGAAACACTTTAGGAATGTCATAAAGGAACGGGAGGTACAGGCCTCTATGGCCAGATATGTTGTGTGACAGAGGTCCAGTGACTCTCAAGTTGGTCCTAGTGGCATTAAAAGAAGAAGGGAAGTAATCCCGAAAAAGGACTTGCCACCTCAAGTCCTAATGGAAGGGGATTCCCCTTCTAAACACTAAGACCATCAACACACTCCCCTCTTCCCATCCCATCAATCATCACCAGATCTTCAATAAAGGTAAGTGTCATGTAACTGTGCATGTCTTCTTCAGTTTGTGTTTATTAAAATTAATATTTCATGTGTTAAATTTTTTTTTTCAATACTTTTGGGTGTCTTGCACGGATTAATTTGATTTCCATTATTTCTTATGAGGAAAATTAACTTGACTAACGATTATTCTGACTAACGATGAGCTCTCAGGAATGGATTAATAGCGTTAGCCGAGGGTCCACTGTACTATATGTATTGAAGATTTTTTCAGCATACGTATAGGGTTACTTGTAATACTGTTGTGTATATATATTGCAGTTAAAAAGTATTTAAGAGATTGGATTTAAAAAGGTAGGTTTCAAAGATTAATGTATACATGCAAATACAGTGGTACCTCGGGATACGAACTTAATTCTTTCCAGAAGGCTGTTCGAGTGCCGATACCGAATGAATTTGTTCCAATCTTACAAAAGCACTTACATAAATACACTTACATAATTGTTCAAGTTTTGAGCTGTTCGTATCCCAAGGTACCACTGTATCTGTTAAATGTGCAAACATCTTGTATCTTAACAGAGACCTAAAACTGGATATGCGCTTTGTAAGGAATGTTTTTTCTGGGCCTTTGAAGAAGAGGTGCATCATACTATCACCACAGCAAAGCTCTTTACCCCAGGTGACTATGTTGCCATTGCAGCATCAGGTACAGCTATTAAATATCTTGTTAGTTGTATTATTACAATTTAAATGCCTTTGCCAGTTTTTCCTTTTAAATGCTTTCTTTTCTAAAATTGTTATGTTTGTTATCATATTTTTGAATTACAGTGGTTTACTCTCACCCCTAACCCAAACCCCTCCTTTCAAGTGCATGCATTGTACTTCCCACCTCCAGGACTCAGATCCAGCTAACCAGTTTCCCTGAATCCCTTCACAAAATATTACCCTGCTCACATTCCAACAGCTCATAAGGTTTCAAAAACCATTCATCTCCATTCGCTCCTAACACACTCACACATACCTGCTGCATGTCCAAGTCCCCTGCACACAAAGCCTCTTTTACTCTTACATCCTTTCCTAGGATGTTCCCTACCCATTCTCCCCTCCACTACAGATTTATACATCCTCCAAGTCATCCTATTTTGCTCTATCCTCTCTAAATGACCAGACCACCTCAACAACCCCTCTTCAGCCCTCTGAATAATACTTTCAGTTACTCTACACCTCATCCTGATTTCCACACTATGGATTCTCTGCAAAATATTTACACCACACATTGGCCCTTAGACATGACATCTCTGCTGCTTCCAGCCTCCTCGCTGCAGCATTCACAACCCATGTTTCACACCCATATAAGAGTGCTGGTACCACTATACTAAATAACAAAAAAAGGCACAATACCGTGACTGGAACGATACACAAATAACCCGGTATTATATACCATTCTTGTACTACTACTACTACCACCACCTCTTCCTGCGTATATATAGCCGTCCTGCTCCACTTCTGGTTAGTGTGACTTTGTAAATGGTCCAAGTCGGACCGAAACGTCGTCGTAAGCTTCTCTCTTTTATTTGCGGGTTATTTGTGTACCACTCTACTCTCGTACATTCTCTTCTTTACCTCTATGGATAACATTTTTTATCTCAACAGATACCTCAGTGCACCACTCACCTTTTTTTTCATCAGTTCTGTGTTTAACCACATCCTTCATAAACCTAGCTTCTGACAAATTGACTCCCAAATATCTGAACACATTCACTTCTTCCATACTCCCTCCAATGTGATTTCCAATTTTTCTTTAACTTGTTTTATACCCTCTTCACCTTACTCTTATCTATGTTCACCTTCAACTTTCTTCCTTTACACACCCTCCCAAACTCGTCCACTAACCCTTGCAACTTCTCTTTAGAATCTCTCAAAAGCACAGTATCATCAATAAAAAGTAACTGTGTCAACTCCCATTTTGTATTTGATTCCCCATAATTTATTCCCACCCCTCTCTCCAACACCCTAGCATTTACTTCTTTTAGAACAACATCTATAAATAATAATAATAATAATAATAATAATAATAATAATAATAATAATAATAATAATAATAATAATAATATTATTATTATTATTATTGTTATTATTGTTATTGTGGCATGCAAAGAGTACGTAACCTTTATTCAGCGCATGTACACACCCTCATTGAAAGGCTATCTCCCCCAACCAGCGAACCAGGTACTAAGGGTTAATGATGGGGCCCCGTTGTTCAATCAGTACCCAGGTTCCAGCCAATGAGAAGATGGTTTTGGCAATCGCAGAGGTGTTTTGGGTACCACTCACCTATCTGCCCTTGTCATTCCCATTCTAGAGCTGGTTGAAGCACGGTCTGCTCTCTAGTGGCTTCTATTCTGCCTTGCTTACTGTGGAGTGCACTAATACCTATTGTTGTACATAGTATATATAGTGTATATACTTCTGTTCTAAATTGGTGAAGGATAATACAAGTCAAAATTTTTTCTGTTGTGTTTATTTTGCTCTCTTTACACCCAGGATAACAGGCCTTTGGAACTCCTGGGTTGTAATTATTATTATTATTATTATTGTGGCCAGCTTTGGACTTATTTTTTTTAATCTATTAGGGTTGCCTTTGTTTCAAAATCAATTGGATATTTTAAATCAGATTTGGCACATCCATGACTTACTATTAATACCCTTTGAGAGTCGAGAGGCCCTCTCCCAAACTTGTTCTCAGGGTCGAAAAATTTTTGAAAAAAAAACAAAAATTATTTTTATCGTGAAACGATAGGGAATCTTTTTCCGATCATAATGACACCAAAAGTATGAAATTTGATGAAAAACGTACAGAATTATGCTCTTGCGAACTTAGCGGTCTCAAAGTTGGCGATTTCGCCCACTTTGGGCCCTATTTTTGGCCAATTCCAATGTAGCAGTTGACTAAAATCATAGCTATTTCCCTAGAACGCCATTTATTCTATCAATTGAGTACAAGACTCCGCCTTTTTACCAATTTCAACTACCCAATAAAGTGGTCAGAAATTGGCAATTTGGGCAATTTCACACAAATTTCAAAAGATGCCAATTTCAAAATGGGGGTTCAGAATAAACTAGACAGACATTCATGGCACTAAAATAACACTTTATCTGTTCATTAGTCACGTCTCTAGCCCCCTCTTACATTACTTTTGCTTTCCATTTTGAATTTTTATTCTCGCAGAAAATAGAAAGTTTTCTGTTATGTATACTACTGCATCATTGTAAAAACGGTATAAATGATATCAGCGCACTTATGAAAGAATATTAGACTCGCCAGTTGACGTGTATTGGATGCGTGGCTTGATTTGTTTACTCTTGAATATCTGCAAAAATCGATAATTTTCGCTACTTTGAGCTCACTTTCAAGGTATTTGTCATCGTGAAACCAATCAAAATCATCTCTAATTCTGTAATATATCTTCCATTCTATCAAATGAGACCAAGAAAACAAGAATAAAACCGTAAATACCATACAAAAATTCACTAGAAAGTTTCTGTTTTAAACCAAAAGCACAGTCAAAGTTTTTTTTTTTTCTCATTATGCACAGCGTGCTTCAGGATTTTTTTTATACTGCGCACACTGACCACACAGACCCATTCTTTCATATGTAGGCCTGCCAGCTTTCTTCCATCAGATTTGAAGGCACTAGAATTTAGGCGTACAAGTACGTGACCGACCCTGGTTGCAATGACATACTAGTACGTGACCGACCCTCAGAGGGTTAAAAAAATGCCACTACAGTGGAACCTTGGTTATTGAGCACACTAGTTGTCAAACAAATTGGTTTTCGAACAAGGAATTCGAGAAAAGTATGTCCTGGTTATCATACATGCTCTGGTTGTCGACGGACAATGCTCCCAGTGTTGAAGAATTAAAAAAAAAAAAAAAAATTATAAAATGATAGAAAATCTTATTCCAAAGGCAATGAAACCAAAAGTACAAAATTTGATGGAAAACTTACGGAATTACGCTAACGTATAGTTAATGTTCTCTGCGATATGTATGCATTGGCAATTTTGCCCACTTTGAGCCTTATTTAGGGCCAATTCCATTGTTCCATTCAACCAAACTTATAGCTATTTCAATAGAACTCCTTTTATTCTATCAAGTGAGTACAAGAAACTGCCCATTTACATATTTCAGCTACCCAATAATGTGATCCGAAATTACTAATTTGGCTAATTTCACACAAAATTCAAGAAAAGCCAGTTTCAAAATAGGGTCCAGAATAAACAATACAGATATTCTTGGCACTAAAATAACATTTTATCTGCTTATTAGTCATGTCTCCAGGCCCCTCTTATATTACACTTGTTTTTCATTTTGAATTTTTATTCAAATAAAAATTAGAAGATTTACTGTTATTCGGACTACTGCACAATTGTAATAATTGTTCAAATAATATTGGATGCCTGACGTGATTTGTTTACTCTTGAACATCGACAAAAATTGAACATTTCTGCCAATTTGAGCTCAGTTTCAAGATGCTTTTAGTCTCTAGACCATTCAAAATCATCTCTGTTTCTGAATATATCTTCCATTCTGTTAAAGGAGACCAAAAAAACGAGAATATCTCCATAAATACCATACAAAAACACAATCATAGTTTTTTTTCTCATGTGCTGCATGCTGCAGGATTTTTTATACTGTTCACACTGACCATACAGACTCATTCTCTCATGTAGGCCTACCAGCTTTCTCCTGGTAGATTTGAAGCCACTAAAATTTTGCCATTAGCTCTCCTGTGAAAGGTAAGAGGCAGTTAAAAGTTCATTTACTGTACAGTATTCAGCATGGGTGATGAATGTTGCAACGAGGAGAAAGCTGGAGGCAGTGGAGATGTCATGTCTGAGGGCAATGTGTGGTGTGAATATAATGCAGAGAATTCATAATTTGGAAATTAGGAGATGGTGTGGGATTACCAAAACTATTATCCAGAGGGCTGAGGAGGGGTTGTTGAGGTGGTTCGGACACGTAGAGAGAACGGAACAAAACAGAATGACTTCGAGAGTGTATAAATCTGTAGTGGAGGGAAGGCAGGGTAGGGGTCGACCTAGGAAGGGTTGGAGGGAGGGGGTAAAGGAGGTTTTGTGTGCGAGGGGCTTGGACTTCCAGCAAGCATGCATGAACGTATTTGATAGGAGCGAATGGAGACAAATGGTTTTTAATACTTGACATGCTGTTGGAGTGTGAGGAAGGTAACATTTATGAAGGATTCAGGAAAACTGGCAGGCCGGACTTGAGTCCTGGAGATGGAAAGTACAGTGTCTACACTCTGAAGGAGGGGTGTTAATGTTGCAGTTTTGTAACTGTAGTGTAAAGCATCCCTCTGGCAAGACAGTGATGGAGTGAATGATGATGAAAGTTTTTCTTTTTCGGGTCACCCTGCCTTGGTGGGAATCGGCTGACGTGTTAATAAAAATAAAAATTATTCAGTTAAATTTTCATTTAGTATTCATTTTTACAATTTCCCTGTGCTGTATAATTTTATACATTGTTTTATGTAGTAGTTAGTGCATTATTATTAATTAATTTTATATTGTCATTTGGGGTCTGGAGCAGATTAATGTATTTACATTATTGCTTTGGTTGTCGACCCGACATCTGGAACGAATTACATTTGACAGCCGAGGTTCCACTTTAGTTCCCTTCTTAGCGACAAAGCAAAGTTCTACAGGAGCCTCTCTATAATTAAGTGAAGTGTCATGTTTTGGAACACTCTAAACCCTTGGTTAACCTGTGGGATGTTCCTAAAAATTGGCATATATTCTAGTAAATTTAGTGCTAACCAGTCTGAAAGAAAAATACGGGAAAAATTGGGTTACATTCCACAGATCTCAAAAAAAAAAAAAAATTAATATTGCTTTGTGTCCACTTTAAAAACAAAAATTCTTTTGAAATGGTAGAAAATTCTTTTCTGAAAGTAATGGCACCAAAAATAAAAAATTTGATGGAAAGCTTGTGTAATTAGACAGGCAGAAAGTTAGTGGTCAGTGCAATTTATGCATTGATGATTTTGCCACTCTTGAGTCCTATTATAAACCTATTCCATTGCTTCAGTGGACCAAATTCTTATCTATTTTGCTAGTATGCCTTCCATTCTATCAATTGAGCTACTTTATGAAGTGCACAGAAGTCGGTAATTTGGCCAGTTTTACTCAAAATTAAAAAAAATAACAATTTCATATTAGACATTTCTGGCACTAAGACAACTTTCCCTCTGTTCATTAATCATGTCCCCAGCCTCTCCAATGTTGTTCTTTCCTTCCATGTGAATTCTTAATCACGCAAAAATAGAAGATTTATTCTATTTTCTGTTCTATTCTGTTTTCTCCTGGGATTGATTGGTTGTGGTTTATGGCATCCCAGTAATTGAATCAGACCTATTAAAAATTCATAAAACAGACTGGGGGGTGTAGGGGGCCATACTCATCCTCAGTAAAACCACCAAAAATTAAATATTTCTACAACTTTGAGCTCAGTTTCAAGGTGCTTCCAGTACAGAAACCAACCCAAATCATCTCTTAATTCAGTAGTATGGCTTTGATTTTATCAAATGAAACCAAGAAATAGCTAATAAAACCTATCTGAGAAAGCACTTCAAATTTGCTCTTTTAAACCATCCACATGGTCAGAGTTTTCTTTTTCCATCAGACACTGTGGGGGAGAGGGAGAGGATTTTTTTTTATACTGTGCACACTCACTGCACAAACCCATTCTCTCATATTTAGGCCAAAATTTACCTCTCACAGCTTGTCTGAGTGAAGTGAGCTCAAGACGTATAACTACTTGAGGGACCCTGGCCTCAGTGACATAGTCCTATGTGATGGCCATTAAAAAGGTTAAGTGTAGAAATTGTTGTTCAAGACCTTTCATAAGAAGTATAAATCTGCAGATTGCACAGTTATGTATCTTTTGAGACATTTGGTTAATTTGTTAATGTGTATTTTATTTTTCAGTGTACTGTATTTTGTTCTTTACATTATGTTCTTCTTATTACAGGAGGAAAAGACTCTACAGTGTTGGCATATACAATGAAGCTATTAAATGATCGGTATAATTATGGGCTGAAGTTAGTGTTGCTCTCTGTTGATGAAGGAATCACAGGTAAATGTGACCTGAGTCTTCAACTTCCAATTGTGACCCCTTGTTTCTGTGTCCCATCTATGGAACATCCTGTCTCTGTCCACTTTGTCAATTCCTCTCAGTATTTTGCGTGTCATTATCATGTCTCCCCTAACCCTCCTGTCCTCCAGTGTTGTCAGGCAGATTTCCCTTAACCTTTCTTTGTAGGACATTCCCCCGATCTCTGGAACTAGTCTAATTTCTTGACGTGTTTGACCAGGTGTGGGTTCCAAACTGGTGCTGCATACTCCGGTATGGGCCTGACGTACACGGTGTGTAGAGTCTTGAACAATTCTTTATTGAGGTATCTGAATGCCATTCTCAGGTTTGCCAGGTGCCCATATGCTGCAACAGTTATCAGGAGATGTGCTTGGTATTATACTCACCCCAAGATCCTTCTTCTTGAGTGAGGGTTGCAGTCTTTGGCCACATATCCTATACTCTGTCTGCGGTCTTCTTTGCCTTTCCCCGATCTTCATGACTGCATTTAGCGGGATTAAATTTGAGGAGCCAGTTGCTGGACCAAGCTTCCAGCCTGTCCAGGTCTCTTTGTAATCCTGCCTGGTCCTCATCTGTTTGAATTCTCCTCATTAACTTCACATCATCTGCAGACAGGGACACTTCTGAGTCTATCCCTTCCGTCATGTCATTCACATATACCAAAAATAGCACTGGTCCTAGGACTGACCCCTGTGGAACCCCACTTGGCACAGGCACTCACTGGTCCTAGGACTGACCCCTGTAGAACCCCACTTGGCACAGGCACTCACTGTGGTACCTCACCACATACAATGACTCGTTGTTGCCTCCCTGTCAAGTATTCTCTGATCCATTGCAGTGTCCTTCCTGTTATATGTGCCTGATCTGTGTGTGTGTGTGTGTGTGTTTATTTGTTTTATGATGTTTTCCCCTTTGGCACCACAGGTGTGTGTCCAATTACTCATCCCTTGTACATTTTAGTCAACATAATGATGATCTCCATAGGGAAGTGGAGAAGAATTCTTCCTTCGTAAGTGATGCATGTCATAAGAGGCAACTAAAATGCCATGAGCAAGAGGCTAGTAACCCCTTCTTCTGTATAAATTACTAAATGTAAAAAGTCTTAAAACTTCGTGGTTTTCTTCTTTTTTTGGGTTGTTCTGCCTTGGTGGGAGATGACTGGTGTGTTTAAAATAATAATAATATTATATTTAAATAATAATAATTTTTTAATACATTGGTCGTGTCCCACCGAGGCAGGGTGATCCAAAAAGAAAGAAAACCCCAGAAAGAAAGAAAAATACTTTTATTATCATTCAGCACTTTCACCATCACTCATACATAATCACTGTCTTTGCAGAGATGCTCAGGTACGACAGTTTAGATATCCCTCCAAACTGCCAATATCCAAGAGCCCTCCTTTAAAGTGCAGGCATTGTACTTCCCATTTCCTGCTAACCGGTTTCCCTGAATCCCTTCACAAAATTTTACCCTCCTCACGCTCCAACAGCTCATCATGTCTCAAAAAACATTCATCTCCATTCACTCCTATCTAACACGCTCATGCATGCTTTCTGGAAGTCCAAGCCCCTCGCTGATAAAACCTCCTTTACCCCCTCCCTCCAACCTTTTCGAGGACGACCCCTACCCCGCCTTCCTTCGCTTACAGATTTATACGCTCTCCAAGTCATTCTACTTTGTTCCATTCTTTCTAAATGACCAAACCACCTCAGCAACTCCTCTTCAGCCCTCTGACTAATTTTTAGTAACTCCACACCTCCTCCTAATTTACACATTCCGAATTCTCTGCATAATATTTACACCGCTCATTGCCCTTAGACACTACATGTCCACTGCCTCCAGCTGCCTCCTTGCCATAGCATTTACAACCCAAGCTTCACACCCATATAAGAGTGTTGGTACCACTATACTTTCGTACATTCCCTTCTTTGTCTCCATGGATAATGTTTTTTGACCCCACAGACACCTCAATGCACCACTCACCTTTTTACCTTTATCAGTTCTGTGATTTACCTCATCTTTCATAAACCCCTCTGCTGACAAGTCAACTCTCAAATATCTGAAAACATTGACTTCCATACTCCCTCTCTCCAGTGAATGTGATATCCAATTTTTCTTTAGCTAAATTGTTTCATACCCTCAACACTTTACTCTTATCTATGTTCACTTTCAACTTTCTACCTTTACATATATTTAAATATTAATATTCTAGTCTTGAAAGAGGGTTGTTAGATCTCCATGTGAAATTTATCTTTGGGCATCAAAGGGACTGTGGAAAAAGATATTTATGCATGGTTCAGGATGTTTATTAGAGGAAATGTTTTGCCACTAGTGGCTTCTTCAGTCCTAATCAACTGTAGTGTAGGATACAGCTATGGTACTCACCATAAGAACTTTCACAGAAATGCTACCACATTTAAATCTCTGTATTTCGTACACTTGAACTACTCTTAGTAATATTTTTTTAGCTACAAAAATTCTGCCTTCTGTGTCCAGGTTACCGGGATGATAGCTTGGAGACAGTTAAGCGAAATGAACAACAGTATGAAATCCCTCTCAAGATAGTCTCTTATGAGGAGTTGTATGGATGGACAATGGACCGTATTGTAAAGAAGGTAGGATATTTATTTACATTTTTAGAGTGTTCATCTGATAAGAGAGACCTTTCGAATTGTGATGTCTGTATACTTCTGGCAGGACAGCTATTGAATGTGTTTCCTTTATGGGTCACCTTACCTTGACAACACCCTTCTGTCATAAAACTGGAGTCAAACAAATTTAACGGCTTTTTACCAATACCATTTATGGATGGGTGCCTGGATGTAGGTGAAATGCTCTTGATTTAAGGAATTAGAGCTACTCTTCTCCTCCTTGGATCATTCATGATTATATCCTGTTCTTAAGGCTGATACCATGACCTTGGTGTGTTCCCATGAATATAATATTCACCAGAAATCCCAGGGTACAATATTAGTTTCAATCTGGTAGTATTAAGTCACTAAAGTCCTACCAGTGTTTAGAAACTAGGAATCATTGTAGAACTATCTGTGTTCATTATGGAGGAGAGTAGATAGGTGTTTATACTACAATATCCTAGTTGTTTCTGCTATTCTGCCCTGAGACTGACAATGAGAGATCTGTGGGCACAACATGAGAGTTTCAGCTAACACATTGGAGGCACCAGAGTCTGTTATTGAATAACTTGAAAGTGCTTACTGAGCATGGAGGTAAATATTGAGTCTAGATATGTGTAGGTTGTATTCCAGGTGGGGTAACAGTCCTCTATTACATAAATACCATTAATAGTACCTTATGTCTCTATCTGTAACTCTTGTTTTTTCATATGCTTTTGCAAATAGGGAATCCAAATCAAAGGAAAGGATTTATATTTTTGAGAGGGGAAAGTATAATTAATACGTAATTTACATACTAGCTGTCACACATTTGGTTTCCCATCAGATTGGCCGAAAAAGTAATTGCACATTTTGTGGTGTGTTTAGAAGACAAGCATTGGACCGAGGAGCAAGTTTACTGAAGGTTGATAAAATTGTGACTGGACACAATGCTGATGATATTGCTGAGACAGTCTTAATGAATATTCTGCGAGGTGACATTGCCAGACTTCAACGGTGTACTGCAATAGTAACTGTGAGTGCTCTAGTTGCTCTGATTTATACATGGTTTAGTTCCTATAGAAAACATAACATTTTCAAAGCTTTCTTTCACTGATGCATTTATAAAGTCATTGCTTGAAAACCCAAGACATTTACTGAAATTATCAAATAAATCATCTTATTGGTAGATCACACCACTGCTATCACTCAGGCCTTTGGGAAAAATGGCATAGACGTTGATTACCTAACCTAAAAAAACCTAATTTTGTCTTTATAAGACTCTCTCCTATATGCACAATAGCTATGATATCAAAGATGGCATTTACACCAAACTTTGTGCAGTATTTGACAGATATGTTTTTAACACAGCTGTTTCTCATCAAGGTAGGGTAAACCACTCATTTTCTAGTTGTCTTTAAAGATCCACAGGAACATCAGAATTCATCCACAGCATGCCTGTTCATGTAACAAATATTATGTGGGTGACATAATCTAATGTGAGAATTCTAGAATAAAGATGTGCCTGCAGAAATCACAGCACCAGAAATGTGTCATCCATGTTATGCAGCTCACTGTCCAACATCATTAATTTACACCTTACCTCATATCATAATGCCCTGGGCCATCTATCATAAAGTTTTTTTAAAGTTTCCAGTGGCTGAAACATTTACTACTACATCCTCTTGCAAAAATTCCATTGATGTACCATTGATTTATATCTACATAAAGTGATGTTTTTGGAAGGTAAACTTTATGTGACAGTTCATTTTACAGAAATTGCATAGAAAAGATTGTCTTTAGGTGATTTACATACATACCAGTTAACTTTTCCAGGGTTCTGAAGGTGCAATCCCAAGATCCAAGCCATTTAAATATACATATGAGAAGGAGATTGTTATGTATGCATATTTTAAGAAGCTGGATTATTTCTCCACTGAATGCATTTATTCACCAAATGCTTATCGTGGGTATGCCAGAGCATTCCTGAAGGATTTGGAAAAGATTAGGCCAACTTCCATCATTGATATTATCCATTCAGGTGAGTTAAAATGTAGTTTTAATATTTTTGAGATTTTTCTCAAAACATCTTGGGATGAGTACTTATATGCATTTTTGGATGGGTTCTGACAGAATTTAAGCTCCATTTAAATTTCTTGTATGGAGTTCAGCCTCTCCTCACTTAGCGATGTACTCGTTACCGACGACTTGGACTTATGACGGGCTCTCTGACCAGTATGCATACCTAAATAATTTATATTAGAGCTAATTTCCTCTGTTCTGTTTATTACAGTATACAGTACACTACTGTATAAATATTTAAAAATATACTATAAATGTTATAAATGGTTCAAAGGTGACATTAAAACAATATCAAAGATGGTTGATGCAAACCCACTATCATTGTAGTATGCTCCTTGTGTAGTGATTAATTTATTTACCGACGTGGTCTTCATATACCGACGTGGTCTTAGGAATGGAGCTCCATCATTAAGTGAGGAAAGTCTGCATTTACGTATATCACTAACCCTTTCAGGGTCCAGAGGCCAAATCTCGGAGTGTCAGCCAGGGTCCAAGAATACATGTGACTTTGTCAATGGTCCAAGTCGGACCGAAACGTCGTCGTAAGCTTCTCTCTTTTATGTGCGGGTTATTTGTGTATCGTTCCAGTCACGGTATTGTGCCTTTTTTGTTATTCTGGGTCCAAGAATTTTCGAAAAAAAAAAATCCTACAAAATTAAAGATATTATTTTTCTATAGGTAATGAAACAAAATAAAAAATTCTGATGTGCCCTGGGTGGCGGCAACATCCACGACTTCCATAAAGTCGCATTTGTTTATTTTACTATTTTCTTTTCTTTTCTAATATTTTTTTCCAGTAATGTTGTGGCCTGTGAGACCAATATAATATATAATGTATATATGTACACTCATTGTATTCAACACAATACCTGCACTAAAGTTTTTATCACAATAATGTTTACCGAACTTGTTTACAACAATAAACATGCAAAAATATTGTATACAGCCTCTCCTCACTTAACGACGGAGTTCTGTTCCTGAGACCTTGTTGGTAAATGAATTCGTTGTTAAGTGAGGAGCATACTATAATTATATTGGGCTTGTGTCAACCATTTTTGATATCGTTTTAATGTCACCTCTGCAGCATTTATAACATTTCTTGTATACATATTTTTAAATGTTTATACAGTAGTGTACTGTATATTGAAATAAACAGAATAGAGGAAATCAACTCTAATATACATTATTTAGGTATGCATACTGGTCAGAGAGTTCGTCGTAATTCTGAGTCATCGGTAAACGAGTACGTTGCTAAGTGAGGAGAGGCTGTATTAGTAATGTTCTATTATATATTTACATATATACAGTCACTGGACATGTTCTAGAACTACTGCAGTCTGTGGAAATCTTTGAAACAAGGTGTCATGCACAGTGGTGTCCTTCATTCCTCTCACATAAACCGGGTGTCTTTGTGTCTTTGTGGTCATCGTTTTGTTTGTGCACAGACAACGCATCTCTTCTAAGCCCATTTCTTCTTAGTTGAAGGAAGCTGTATTAGGAAGTGATCACCTTCCCACCTCAAATGATTGGGTAATTGGTGATCAGTTCGTGGATGGTTTTGTATAGCAGGTGTTGTGACCTGGTACTTGATTATTATTTGTCTGATGACAGATAAACAAAATTCACCATATGGTGGTCTGTTGCCGGTCTTCATTTGATACATATTACAGTGGACCCCCGCATAACGATCACCTCCGAATGCGACCAATTATGTAAGTGTATTTATGTAAGTGCGTTTGTACGTGTATGTTTGGGGGTCTGAAATGGACTAATCTACTTCACAATATTCCTTATGGGAACAAATTCGGTCAGTACTGGCACCTGAACATACTTCTGGAGTGAAAAAATATCGTTAACCGGGGGTCCACTGTATATGCATTGGGCATTGAAATGTCCATGAGATGGAAGAAAAGTTTCATGTACTACTTGTAACTCTTACGAACACAATCAGCAAAGCCAATTTGCATGTCACATTTGTCAACCAAACACGTGTTTTGTGTATAGGCAATCACTGTTGCTGGTTTTAGAATACGTATGTTCATTCATCATTCTATTCAACTTGCCATTGTCTTTCATTTCATTAGGGTGAATGGATGTCAACAATGTGACATCTCGTTTGTCATGCCACTGTAATGCCATGATGTCATTGGCAGCAAACACCTGCATCTCACCACTATGAATGCCTGTGTTGAACCTGGGCATATGTTCACGATTAGAATTCACTGTGCCACACACGCCTGTCATGTTCACTAGCAAGAAATCACTGAGTAAGGGGCTTGTGTACCAGTTATCAGTATATAATGTATGGCCCTTACCAAGATATGGTGCTCTCATCATTTTCAATATGTCACCCGAGATACCCAACAACATCCTGGTATCTTTCAATGTTTTACTTCCCGTGTATACAGACATGTCCATTACCACGCCACTATCACAGTCACAGAGTACAAACAGTTTTATACCAAAGCATTTCCTCTTGCTAGGTATATACTGCTTGAACGACAGTTTACCTTTGAACAAAATCAAAGACTCGTCAATTACAAGATTCTTGAATGGATATAAGTACATGTTGAACTTTTGTTTCATATCCATAAAAACATTTCTAATCTTGTATAACCTGTCATTTCTTTCAGGCCTGGTTTTGTCAGAGAAGTGCAGCATATGTAACAGTAAGATAAATCTGTTCACTGGGATGATTGCACTGAGGGCCGGGGTAGAAATTAGCCCATCCATGGACCAATATGATTTTATATTATGCTTAAAGACATGAGACATGAGCATTATTGTTGCAAAAAACAGATGCATTTCAGGCACAGTTGTCTCCTTCCACTGGTGTAGTCTTGACTGTGGTGATATCATTGTACAGTGGACCCTCAACCAACGGCATTAATCCATTCCAGAGAGCTTGCCGTTAGTCGAATTTGCCATTGGTCGAATTAATTTTCCCTATAAGAAATAATGGAAATAGAATTAATCCATTCCTGACACCCCAAAGTATGATTTTTTTTTTTTTTTACATGAAATATACATTTTCCTATACCAAAATGAACGAGACATGCAAAATAAACAATAATTAAGTGCCACTTACCTTTATTGTGGAGTTGTTGATGAATGATAAGATGGTAGGAGGGAAGATAGCGGAGGTGTTTTATTGTTTGGAAGGGGGAATCCCCTTCCATAAATACTTCAGGTACCATGTCCTTTGGTGGGGTTACCTCCCTTCTTGGTTTTTTAATGCCACTAAAACCAGCTTGAGAGTCACTGGGCCCCTGTCACACAAAATATCTGTCTGGAGAGCTCTGTTTCTCACATACCCTTAGGATTTCCCTAAAATGGACACAAGAGTGTCATTGTACATGTTGCCAATTTGGCTTGCAACTTCTGTGACAGGCTAAAATTCATTGATAAATGCTTGCACCTTTTTAAACATCGAACACATTTCCCTAATCCTTGACGAAGTCATCTTCCTCTGTCTCTCTTCATCCTGCTCTGAAGAACATCCTGAGATGTGATCTGTTGCTGTTGCACCTGAAGTTCTTGCAGGTCTGCAGTGGTTAGTTCTTCCTTGTTGTTTTGCACCAACTCTTCTACATCCTCACCACAAACCTCCAACCCCAAGGACTTCCCCAATGACACATTAGCTTCCACTACTGACATAGCCTCCTGAGGGTTAGCCTCAAACCCTTCAAAATCCCTCTCTTCTACACATTCTGGCCACAGTTTCCTCCAATCAGAGTTCAAGGTCCTCTTAGTCACTCCCTCCCAAGCCTTACCTATATGGTTTACACAACTGAGGATATTGAAGTGATCTTTCCAAAACTCTCTTAGGGTCAGTTGAGTGTCTGAGGTCACTTCAAAGCACTTTTGAAAAATTGCTTTTGTGTAGAGTTTTTTGAAGTTTGAAATGACCTGCTAGTCCATGGGCTGGAGGAGAGGAGTTGTATTAGGAGGCAAAAAACTTCACCTTAATGAAACCAAACTCCCCTGCAATTTCCTCTTGCAAGTCGTGAGGATGAGCAGAAGCATTGTCCATTACCAGGAGGCACTTGAGTGACAATTTCTTTTCCTGGAGGTATTTTGTCACAGTGGGCCCAAACACACCATAAAACCAGTCCAAGAAAAATTCCCTAGTGACCCATGCCTTACTGTTTGATCTCCACAGTACACAAATTACCCTTGACGATATTGTTTTTCCTGAACACTCTGGGAGTCTTAGAGTGATACACCAATAGAGGCTTCACTTTGCAATCACCACTAGCATTACTACACAGAATTAATGTCAGCCTGTCTTTCATAGGCTTATGTCCTGGGAGTGCCTTTTCCTTCTGAGTAATGTAGGTCCTGTTTGTCATTTTCTTCCAGTACAGGCCTGTTTCGTCACAATTAAACACTTGTTCAGGTTTTAAGTTTTCAGTCTCTATGTATTCCTTAAAGTCCTTCATATATTTTTCAGCCGCTTTTTTGTCTGAACTGGCTGCCTCACCATGCCTTACCACACTGTGTATGCCACTATGAATCTTGAATCTCTCAAACCAGCCTTTGCTGGCCTTAAATTCATCAGCAGCAGCACTATTTTCAGGCATTTACTTAATGAGATCATCATGCAACTTCCTTTCCTTTTCACAAATTATAGACTGAGAAACACTATCTCCTGATAATTGTTTTTCATTTATCCATACCAATAACAGTCTCTCTGCTTCTTCAATTATTTGTGGTCTCCGTTTTGAAAACACACTTGAACCTTTCGCAACAACAGCTTACTTGATTGCCTTTCTGTTCACCAAGATAGTACTGATGGTTGAACGTGATTTGTTGTATTGCCTTTCCAACTCAGACATACGCACTCCGCTCTCGTATTTTTCAATTATCTCTTTCTTCATTTCCATCGTAATTCTCACCCTTTTAACACAGGCTTGGCACTAGGAGCTTTCTTGGGGCCCATGGTGGCTTATTTAGTGGTTACCAGCACTAAAAACACTGGAATAATCCAAAATATATGGCAGACACACATGGAATCAACCGCAACAACTTGTAAACAATGGCACACTGACTCTTGGAGTGGCTGGGCTCGCTCTGGCCACGCTCCCGGTGCATGGACATGTTCCAGACGAACGTCGTTGGTAGAGTTTTTCGCCGTTGTTAGAGATATTTTTTTTTTTATGTCAAAATGTGCCGTTAGAGGAATTTGCCGTTACTTAATGCCGTCGTTAGTTGAGGGTCCACTGTATTTGCCATTGTGTAATCAAAATACTTGTTACTCTCTCTGACAGTATTTTCCATCAAGGGCTGGTCAATGAATAAAGAATTCCAGTTCACTTGCAGTGTTTCCTAGGGAACAACATGGCAGGAGTCTATTTTGAGTGTTATCAAACTGATGGGGATTGGGAACAAAATTGGGATTTTGCTGCCAGTCCCAGATGCAGTTTGCTGGTGGGTACTTGACATCATAAACTGGTTGTGGTGGTAGTGCAGGTTGTGGTGTTGTGGGGCTGGATGACGATGCGCTTTGTCCTGGACCTGCTGAGTCAGTGGCTTGGGTTCGTGCCACTTGCTGCATGCCCGTGTCACCACCACCACCTACTGATGCATGTGGTCTATCCCTCCCAATTGTAGCCACATCATCGTCACTTTCACTGTCTATTCCAGGTATAGGGCCATGGGATGTACTCCATCTCCTTGGAATTGCACATGGTACACTACCCGAGTGCATGCGGCGGCATATATACTGATGCTTCACTGGTGAATGATTCCTCACTATCATTATGCAAATGGTCATCAGGAGCAATAAAATCAAAGTCCATGTCACTATCATCACCATGACTCAAATCTGAGGCCTGGCCATGCGAAAATATTAGTTTTCTTTTGCGACAAGGTACAACTGAATGTGACTGAGACAAACCAGTACCAGAGGTGGAACGTTGAGGGTCGTCAGGATTTTCGGCACTATTTTTGATATCTTGAGCATTGCTTTCAGTCACAGATTGATCAAAATCATAGAATTCCTCTTCAGATCCACTTCCATCAGTGTTGGAACTATTACTTGGGAACAGGAGAGTACCAATTCGTCAAGGAGTGAGAGCTTCCTTGCCGCGAGGCATGGTGAACAAAGCGTATTGAGATGGTGTTCCCACAATGCCATGCGGGTTCCCCTGGTCACAGACCGGGCCGCGGGGGCATTGACCCCCGGAACTCTCTCCAGGTAAACTCCAGGTAAACACTGACCACGCAGACCCATTCTCTTAGATGTAGGCCTACCAGCCTTCTCGTGCTAAATTTGAAGCCGCTAGAGTTTTGTTGTAGACCCTAGCTTCAAAGCTGTAGAACTACGGGACGGACCCTGAAAGGGTTAAGGGTATAGTCATACTGCTGCTGCTTCTCTTACATAAAGCAATGTGGTGCAAGAAAAATTATCCATAAATGAGTCGGTCTTTTTATTTCCATGTATTCTCAGCAGGCATAAAATGTGATTTATTGTGAAATTCTTTTTCTTTATAGTTATTCCACAGCATAATTGTAATATATGCTGTACAGTAATTAATATATTGATTAAAATGTGACTAATATCATTTGCATTCTTGGTTTCATCCTTCTTTAGTATATGAAATAAAATGTGCTAAATAGGAATGAGGTTGTCCCAGTTCTTTGAGTGAAGAAACCTACTTAGATGAAGAAAAGTGGGCAAAGAATGTTGAAAAACATGAATAGTAATAGAACTAAGAGATAGCATTGTTATAACACTGTTAGTGTTATGTATTACACCAGCAGTGGAGTTTCAGTGTAATTATGACTGAGAAGTGAGTCACAGGCAAATGGGTCTCTGTCATACTTCCTTTATCACTGATGATTTGTGGAAATAGTACTCTTGTACATGTGTATTGATTCCAGCAGACTTAGATATGGTCATCTCATGGAGGGGCATCATGTGTCATTACACCAGAGCAGTTGTGTAGTGATGACACAATAACATCTTTTGGTAGACTATCCTAATTATCAGAAAGCATATTAATTTTTTTTCAACCTTTCCTTCAACACCCTATATTGTTTATACTTTCTACCATTATTTCTTCTCTCCTTTTTTTGCCCTTGTGCTTACTGTCAATACGCACATGAGTTTAAGTCTATGAATATAATAACAGTACAGTATCCTTGATCATTAAGCTCAAACCTGCCTCTAGCCACTCTGTTCAGACTACGCATTATTAACTTCTTGAGGGTAGTATTGTAGTTCTATGGCTTTGAGCTCTGGGTCAATGCCATAGAACTACGTCATGAGCTCAGCTCACTCAGATAAGCTGTAAGGGGTAAATTTTGGCTTAGATATGAAAGAATGGGTCTGTGTGATGAGTGTGCACCATATAAAAAAAGTCCTGCCCCATGCAGTGCATGATGGGAAAAAACACTTACCTGGTTTTTGGTTTAAAATTGTGAATTTGCAGTGTATTTTCAGGTGGTTTTTATGGTTTTATTCTCAGTTTCTTGGTATCACTTGATAGAATTGAAGATATATTATTGAAATAGGATGATTTTGATGGGTTTCAGGACTGGAAGTACTTTGAAATTGGGCTCAAAGTAGCAGAAATATTCGATTTTTGCCAATATTCCAGAGTAAACAAATCATGTCACTTATCCAATACATGTCCAACTGTGTCTCATATGCATTCACAAATGC